TTTTTTTTTTTTTTTTTTTTTTTTTTTTTTTTTTTTTTTTTTTTTTTACAATTCCTTTTCAATCCTTTTTCAGACTCAGTACATGTTAGATCAACTCACCGATCTTCAACGTAAGGTATTTCTATTCTATTTCCATCCTTCAACTTTCCTTATTCTTTCATGTTTCTTAACCAATTTAAATTAACTATCTTTCGTTTGTTTCAACTTTCACTTTCAGGAGCATCTTCTTAACGACGCAAACAGGACTCTGAAACAAAGGGTATATCTTTTTAAATTAAAAAGAAAAAGAAAAAAAAAAGGAAAATGTTGGGGATTTTGTAATTGGTGTTTAAGTTTTGGATTGCAGTTAGTAGAAGGGTATCAAGTAAATGCTCTCCAATTGAACCAAAGTGGTGATGATATGATGTATGGAAGACACCAAGCTCACCCTCCACCCGATGCCTTCTTCCATCTTTTAGATGCCGAACCCACCTTACAAATTGGGTAAATATTCTTCTATTCTGTCCACAATCTTTCATCCTATATTTCCTTTTCCATTCTTTTTATTTATTAACTCAACTATGTATGTTTGAGAACTCAACATTTCCTTCCTACCTACATCACATATTTATGTACAATACTCTTGTTTCTTCTACTTTGTGTTTCTTCTACTTTGTGTTTCTTCTACTTTGTGTTTCTTCTACTTTGTGTTTCACAACTCTAAACTTAAGCTTATGTACTCTATATTTCAATTTCTAACACTAATTAGTTTCATGAGATTCAAGATTTGAAAGATTAAGCTGCAAAGCACAAGGGCAAGAATCATTAAATTGATATATAAAATGCTTAATTTGGTTTGCAGGTATCACCCAGATCCGCTAACAGTGGTCACCGCTGGGCCAAGCATGAATAATTTCCTCCCAGGGTGGTTGCCTTGAGAAACAAAAAGATGGGAGTTCTTCCATTCAAAATATTATTGAAAAAAAAGGGGAAAAAAAACATTTTTCACTGCTTGAAACTTATATATCTAATTAATATAAACTCTGCACTTTAGTCTTTGTAAGCCAATTGTGTGTATGTTATGCCACATTTCTTTCTCTTACACCTCCAAGACTGCTTTTCGAATGTAATTTCATTGTTTTCTTGTTTGTCATAAAGTTGTAAGTTTGTGTGTATTTTGATTCTCACATGCTAAAATCTTTCTCTTTCTATTTCTATTTCTATTTCTATTTCTATTTCTATTTCTATTTCTATTTCTATTTCTAGTTCAGTTCCAATAACAGATTTAGTTTGTGTAGCATGCATTTTAAAGAAAATATTACAATTGAATACTTACTTAAAAGTGAGATATTGCCTCACTTGGTATCTAATCTTCTCTTACTCAAACACAAATTATTACAAACACATTGTTAGGGAGACGTTGACATTTTTAAATCTAAGGTATGTGTTTAATATCAATTTTTAAGAACTAGCCCTCCACCATGGTATAGTATGGTAGGTAAGATTTAAAAGCAAGCAACACAATATTTAAAGGATGAAAAAAATATATATTTAAAAATTTATTACAAAATTGGGGACAAAATGCAGAAACAAAACCATCAAACAACCCCAAAATATACAAAGGGGTGACACTCTAAGACAATACTCCCCTATAATTGTGCAGCTACTGAACCCTCTCCACCTTGACGAGTGAATCAACAGGTGAAAAGAAAGACAATATATGACGACTACAAAAATACTTGGTAACTATTTGAGTTTTTGTAACTATTTGAGTTTGTAGGAAGATAAGTTGTTAAAGCAATTTCCATGCAGGTCACAAACCCAATCAAGTTCTGTGATTATATTATTATATTATCAATATTACTATATTATTATGTGAACGCTGGCGTGTCCGAAAAAAAAGATACGTTGAAGAAGAGGTCAAGCATTGGGTCCGTTTTGGTTGGCGCAGTCGTTAGATTCAGCCGACCTAGACTTCGATCCAACGCAACCAAAATCTTCTGCCCAAGTACACACCGCCCAGCCCAACACCTAAGTAGCCCATAACCCAGAAGCCTACGAACCTAGTCTAGATCTGTTCGGCCCACGACCCAGCCAAGGAACCTAGTTTAGGTTTTTTCCACCGACAAAAACTCGTGTGTTATCCTCTTCTTAGTGTTTATTTATTTAATTGATTAGATTAAGTTGTAACAGTTATATTGTATTAAGACCGTGAGTTTATGAATCTGATGACACAAATGTAGATAAACTTTGAATTAATTAGCATGTATAAGAATTAGGTGTTGGTAGAATTAATAAGAAGGGAGGATCGGATGACACAAATATAAAGAGGGATGAACACATACAAAGAAAAGAGAGAGAGATAGAAAGAAGCAATGCAAGTGTTAGGATATAGAATAAAACAAAGAAGAGAGAAGAAGTAGAAGTAGAAGTAGGTGAGAGTGTAATTTTAATTTTTTTTTTTTTAATAGCTTAAAGGTATTAATGAAAGCTATATTATATAATTTAACATATACATATATATTTACACATAAAGTACCAAAAGAGTTGATTTTATTATACCAAATGTAATTACCATCTCTTCCGTCTTGGGTGTTGCTCCCCGCACGAAGTGACACGTAAACTAGAAAAAGAAGCCACGGACGGGTCCTTGGGCTTACGACTTTCCATTTTTTGGCACTTCAATTTTCACCCAAAAGTAAAAAGGATTAAAAAAAACTACAACAAAACGCCTCCAAAATATGCGGTATAAATTGAGTCGTACAATATACTATTTATTTTTTATTTATTTAATTTTAAAAAAGGCGCACAATGCGTGAGGGCTTCGCAGCCACAACTACTCTGACACACTTCACCAAAGCTCGACACGTGTCAGCACCAAAACGCTCCTCTTTTATATTTTCTTTTTCTTTTTCTTTTTATTCCCCCCTCCCTCCCTTGCTGTTATTAGTCTCTACAGTGAGGTGCTCGAAGCGAAGGTAAAAAGGAAAAAAGAAAAGAAAAAGAAAACAGACCAAAAAAGGCGGGCCTAAGTTTTGTGATTCGTTTGGATGAAGATAAAAGGAGGGTGAAGAGAAGAGAAAGAGGAACTAGGGTTGACTGTGGAGACACCAGAGAAATGGGACGGAAGAAGATCGAGGTGAAGCGAATCGAAGATATGTGTAATCGCCATGTGACTTTCTGCAAGAGAAGAGCTGGATTGATAAAGAAGGCCCGAGAGCTCTCTGTTCTGTGCGACGTTGAAGTCGGACTTGTCATCTTCACCAACCGCGGCCGCCTCTATGAGTTTTGCAGCGGAAACAGGTACGCTTTTGATCTTCGTTGTTTTTCTCGTTTTTCTCCGATTTTGTTTGTTCATATCGATTATGGTAGTGCAAGCTGTTGCTGAATGCCTTTTGAACGAATTTGAACTATTGCCTTTTGTTTTCTTTATGCTTGCTATTTGAAGTGATTTATGCCATCGGAAAATCTGTGATAGTCTTAGCGCGTTTTCTTCGTGAACTCTGCTTTCTGTCATATCGACGAAGAAAATGCAATTCTTCGTTTTTCTGTTTGATTTTTCTGAAAGAGAACCTCTTAGGAAAATCGATGGGGTTTAGTGTTCCGGTGCTTTGTTCGATCTGATTTCTCCTCGAATCTTTCTTTTCTAATCCCATCGTCCCTGGATTCTTTCTCCCGATTATTTCCTTCCTGATATCGGCCAAGAAAAGCAGGCCTGTTTGATCTTTGAGAGATTTTCTCGGATAATTATTGAAACTTAGTTTTCCGACGCTGTGTCGCTCTCTGATTTCTTCCTGAATGTTTCTCTCGTCTGTCCCTGGTTTCGTCTCAGGATTTACGTGCTGTCTGCAGCATATTTGATTGCATAAACTTTTAATTCTGTACATAAAAGAAATATTTTAAAGCCATATAACTACAAACATGCCACTCAATAGCTTTTTTTTTAACATATACATATATACTTTTAAATGATTTCGTCAGTCTTAATATTATTATATTATCCTTTTATCACTGAATAATTTAGTCAAAATTCTAAATCCGTTTTAGTATTATCTTTTAGATGTCAACATCAAACTAGGATGAGGATTACAGATGAGAAAATAAGACAAAAAAAAAAAACAAAAAAACAAAAAAACAAATAACTTAGAATAATGACAAGAAGTTTTCATTGCATTTTTTCCTGGATTAAATATTCTGAGACTTGGAAATTTAAGTGTGGCTTTAAATATATAATGTACTTTAAATTACTGCAACATAGGTAGTCCAACTTAATAGAGATTATGTTTATTTTTTCATAAAAATAAAAAATTGATGTTTTCTATATAGCATATTTAATCAATTGTGAATGGTGTATTATCAATTTCAAGTAACCTTTATAATTTTTTTTTCTTTTTTCTTTTTGTGATTATCATGGTTTTCTTAATAGTCTGTCGACAACTTGACATCCACGTTTTTTTAAATTAACGATCATTACGAAATATTGCTATATAGGTCTCCGAATTTGTTACTAATTCCTTGTATATCGTTTTTAGTTTTTAAAGGATAGAGCTTGATTTCTTACTATTTTTCAATCATGATTTTCATTGTTTTTAAGTAAATATTGGAATTATTTGCCCAATCTTATTTTTTTTAATTAATTTTAAAAATTTCAAGAACAAAAAAATTAAATAGTTATTGAACAACCAAATTATTTATATTTTACATTAAATTAGTTTAATATGATCATGGAGTTACTATTCTGTGTTTTGACCCGAAATATATACGAGGCTATTTGGTAACCAAGTTTGAAAAGGAAAATTATTTCAGTTTTAGATTCACGATTTTGTTTCTAAAATAGTTTTCAGCAGTTGGGATTGATTAACTTATTGGTTAAGTGTGAGAGAGAAGAAACACAGAAACAATACATATTTTTGTGGATTTTTTTTTATTACTGAGGACTTCGAAATTATACCGTTGTCAAATTTGGCATTTCAATTAATATCTTATATTAACACTTTTCAGTTTAATCCCTGCGTTTAGTTATTGATAGAATTGGTTTATGCTGAATTTACGTGTCATTGGTGAACTAGCAGTTTTCAATGTTAGTTATTCTGAAAATACTAAATGTATTGAGTATATTAGATTGATAACTATTTTCATTTATAAGGTTCTTTGTAACCCAACACATTTTTACAAATGTTTTCAATATCCAAATCAATTTTGAAACTGAAAGAACAGAAGTTTTTGTTTTTATAATTTGACTATGAAACTAATTGTTTCTTTAGAAGAAGTAAGATAAATAAATTGTGAGGAAATAACTACAGTTTTTTAAAATAGAAAATAAAAAATGAAATAGACCTTATATTTTAACACTTCTTAATTTAATTATTCCGTTGTAAATGATAAAATCGATTTATGCTAAGCCTATATGACTTTGTACATGGTGCATGAATGAAAAATTATGAGAGGAAAAAGAGTTATGCAAGAGAAAAAAGCTAAGACATTTGTAGCAATCTTGAGTTTTCATCTCATACATGATTTTTTTTATTTTTTATTTTTTATCTTTTATAATTTTTGGTTAATTCACTCGTACCATGAAGTAGTTTGAATATTTACTCACGACAAGAAACTAAATTACAAGTATTCAGACCTAAAAGATAAATTTAAACTGAAAAAATATCCAAAGATTAGTTACTAAAAAAGCATAAATTTCATCTTAAAAAAAAAAAAAAAAAAAAAA